GCAGAGGCCAGAGAGAGGCCCAGACTCCCTTTCATTTACATTCTCTATTTGGGATCTGAAGCAGGCTCAATTCATTTACAACTCTTGCAAACTATTCCTCCCATGTATTTCTGAAGAGCTAAGTCTTTTCCCCCTTTATGATACTAAGGATGTGACCAATTATTTGGTCAAAGGATAAGATTATCTTGGTGCCTCTTACCTCGTACATACAGCCTAATGCCCTAGAAAAAGCTTCTGCCAGTGGGTAACTGTCCCAGCAACAGCCAAGGGTCCACCCAGCAGTGGTCCGCTGTGACCAGCTACCCTAAGGACCCCAGGCATTTGGGTCAGGCAGCTTCTCATTCATTCCCTCTCATCAACCAGCTCCTATCCCTCCACTACTGAGCCAGGCCACAGAAGGGTCACCAATGACAACATCCTGTCAATTTTTATCAGAGCTAAATATTTTTCTGAAATTTCTCTTATCCTTGTTGCTTTTCTTTGCCATATGGAACTGTTATTTAACATTTTGACCAATTTTATTTTCCCCTAATTCAATATTTTAAATTAAATTTTATCGAGCATTCATAATTTAACTATATTATGGCCCTTTCCCCCAATTTATAATTTTTTTCTTCCCCTTCTGTTTACTTCTATGATCCAACTGGCAAATAGGGCAAATTAATTTTGTTATCAAGAGAATAAAAGGCCTTTAGCCTCACGCCAGGTGCCCTCTGCTACATGCAGGGCACTGATTGGGCAATCAGGGTTGGGGTGGGGAGGGTGCACTCCCACAGTATTATATTTCCTCTCATAAAAAAAAAAAAGCTCATTACAGCCAAGTCCATTCTTATTTAAGAAGCAGGAAATCAAAGGCACCTGTTGGGTATGGAGCTAATTAGGAACTAATCCAAGCTTTGGGGGAGGCTTAATAACCCTTAATTGGCCACAGGGCTGTAAGGTTCTTTCCCCCAAGCTTGGATCTGGAAAGGAACCTAGAAGCTTGTCTGAGGGTCAAAGGAGATGGATACGGCCCAATCTGTTCCCACTTTAAGCACGTCATCTGAAACATCAGAATCCCCAGGCCGGCATCTCAGGGCATGCAGTCAGCATCATCTGCTGCTTACTCCCAGAAGGGTCGGGGTGGGCCTCTACCCCTTCACACCCTATTCACGAAGGGCAATGGGAGGAGATCTGCCACGGCCTCTAAAAAGTGTCTCCATGTTATGAAGGGCCAGAGTCCCCAAGCAGGGGTTTATGGAGAGATTTCTGGGGGCAACATTTTGAATGAGAGAAAAATAACATTTCTTTTCACTAACCTGTATCAAATATTTGGCATTTCCTTCAACCCTGGATTAAAAAACAAAACAAAACAATGACTCTGAAGAGTGCAGATGACGGGAAGGTTAAGAACACTGTTCCAGAGCTTCCTGGAGGCAAGACCCTTGGCCTGACAGATGAGACTGATGAAAGGTCTAAAAGAGCTCAAAGTGAGGAGAGATGTGAGGGAAAAAAAAAAGGAAACTTGGCTCAAAAGCCAAGCAAGGCCTGAAGATATTGCTCGAAGATGGCGACTAAGATGGCCAAAACCTAAGACGCCAAGCTCCCACTGCCAGCGACATCCCATAGACCAAAGAGGGCAAAGACAGACACACCCCCTTGTACACAAAACATGCTCTGAGATACTTTTTGTGGCAGAAAAACAAGTGAGAGGGAAGCACAGAGCTAAACAAATATAAAAGCATGTAAAAGTGAATGTTCCTGACTTCTATAAACTGAGGCAGAGTGAGTCAGCAAGCAGAACCAGCATGATCAAGCCCTGGGCCGTGATCCAGGGAGAGCAATGGAACAGAAGACTTGGAGCAAGGCACTCACAGCTGTTTCCTCACCTGCCAACTCCCTCCCTCCCTCCCTCCCCAGGGAGGTGGAAGGAACGCCTGGCAGGCATTCAAGGGTTACACACATGCCCCCCATTTTCACCACGGTCTTGTTAACTTCACATCAGTCAATTAACCAACAAGCATTCATTAAATACTTGTACAAAGTAAGGCAGGCACTGGGCTAGGTGCTGCAGGACACAAGCTCAAAGATGAACCAGCCCTTGCCCTCAAGGAGCTTCCACTCTAACAGGGAGACAAGGACTTAGCGATAACTAATACCAGAGTACTGAAGAAGGCCTGCAGGTCACTCAGGAGCGAAGGCCCACTGGCCAGCAGCAGGGCAGTGTGGGACACAGGCCGGGTCCCAGCCCCACTTGCTGTTTTGGAAAGAACAAGCTGCTGACTTTGGGGTTTCCCCATCTTTTGCTAGGAAGCACATTCCAATTCTGCCCCCAGGTCTCGCCATTCCTTGCTGCTACGTAAGAAAAGGGTGCCTGTGCTCAAGACCAGTCCCCAAAGGCCCAAGTTGTACACCCTGGAGGAGTCCCTAGGCCTTCCCCCCAACGGTCCCCCTGCTGGGTGGTCACTGGAGAGCCAGGCTTCGGCGACGGCCCATCCCACGTGACACGTGGAGCTCCCCAAGGCCCCTGGAAAGGGCCACTCATCCTAAAAGCCATTCTGCTGTGTCACTAGCCGCAGCCAAAAGAAAACAAAATACTACAAAGGCTGAAAATCCAGACCTCCCAGGATCCCCCCAACCCTTCCTCTGTAGGAAACAGACTCAACAGTAACACTCAACTGGGAACCCAACAGCAAGGCCCAAAGAGGGGCCTCACTGGTTCCCTCCTCCGGCCCTCACAGCATGGCTGGTCGTTGGGCCGGGAAAGAATTCACTTGTCAAACACCACACACGGCAAGAATGAATCTGCCTGAAGCAGATGCTGCATCTCAAAATGAGAGCGGGGAGAGTCGAGACAGATTTTCACCATTTAAAGACAGCCTTTTTACTGTCCATTTCCATGACTACTCAGGGTTCCCGATTTCCCAATCATCATGTTAGCTACTTCCAGCCAAACTAATTCAGTATTTTACACATCACAGAAATGAGCCCTCCTGGGGTAGGGGCCAAAAAATTGAGAATTGTAGCACATTCAGTAAAACAAAACAAAACAAGAGATAGCGGTTTTCAGGGTCTTCCCCCACTCCTGTTACCTGAATGCTTCTGATAACAAAAGTCACTCTTAGCAGCACATTGTCTTATCGGCTGCAGAAACAGGTCTCAGCCAAAGACAAGAATTCTTGTTTTTTTAAAAGGGGAGATGCCCCTTACACACACACACACACACACACACACACACACACACACACACACACAGTGTTTAGCCCCAGCAAGACCAAGAGTGTCTTTAGAGCAGGTCCTGCCACCTTATGATGCCCAGCACATAGTAGGTGCTTCAATGCTTGATGAATTGTAAAAAATAAATTCTTAAGAATTCCAAGCTCACAATTAGGTGATGCTGTTGCTAAGAGGTCACCCTAAAAAAAGGGAAAGGTCCTATCTGCACCACACCTCCCATCAATCCCCAGCTGCCTCAGGAGAAGAAAAGAATCTCTGTTCAACGATGGAAAATGGCTAAATGGTGGCCCAGTAACATAGTAGATTACTATGAGGTTAGAATAACACCTTCAGTCTAGGGAGACACAGAATCACTTCCACCAAATGATGCAACAGACCTGCACAGATCTGAAGCTGAAGACCAGGACTGTCCAGACTGACTTTCTTTGTATATAGTAAAGACACCTACGCTGAAGGGGAGGCCCCCAAAGGAGCTAAAAAAGGGGACGAGAACACATGCAGTTGTTTATTGCATTTTATGTGGATCCATTTTGTCAAGGACTGAAGGGGAATGGACTGTGTTATCACTGAGTTTGTCGGTCAGTGATCATCGTGGCATCATGGGGAGAGAGCCACAGAGGCCTGGGTTCAAGTGCAGACTCTCACCAAGACACGCTGCAGATTCTGGTAGAGGCTCCAAGGTTCACGGAGTAAACCTTAGGACTAGACCAGTGTGATTATAAATCTTAAAAATCAGGAACAAGACAAGTATGGGAAAATGCCCTCTGGCAAACTGTATTGGAAAGAGGACTTTAAAGTCAGGCCGATCTAAGCCTTCAAAAACATCCTGACAAGTCAGTCTCTCCACTCTGCCCTCACCTGCCAAGAGACTGGTCTGTGTTGGGAGAGGACGGGGGAGTCCTCTGCCACAAAAGTCACAAGCTCCCCCTTCCCAAACTCAGCTGCTTCCGAAAGGAAAGTACAATCCGTTAAGAGGTCAGATGTTTAATTCACTAATCCTCACCCAAAAAAGAGGACTTTTAACCAAAGAAACCCCACTCTTCTTGCACCTTTCTCCAAAGATTCCAATACCAAACCCTCTGTACCACTTACCTTGGGAAGGCGTCACAAAAGTTTGATTTTACTTAGAAAGGCGACTATCCCTGCCTATATAACAGGTAACATCTGACCCTGCTATAAACTGCTTGTATACTAAAAACAAAGGAAGCACAGAACAACGGGTGCCAATTTTATTCGACTAAATTAGTATTTTACGGATGTTCCTCCGCCCATGCAATTTTTGTTCCTTAAATTAAAATTCTGAAAAATTAGATTTCACAGATTTTATTGCTGTGACTTTTTTGGGGAGGAGGGGAAGGCAAATAAGAGGGAGAGCAGGAGTGCTAAGGCGCTGTGGGTGGGTAGGCCAGGCCACTGCATAAGAACGACACGTGGGTATCAACTTCAGCGACTGCTAAAGGGAGCAGGCCACAGTGACCTGGAGTCGACGAGTCTCAAGCTTGACCCAGACAGACTGCACGAGGCAGAGGCCCAGTGTCTCCAGGACGGGGGCAGAAGAAGGCCGACCTCTTTGACAGAAGAGATTCCCTATAAGACTCCCCAGTTCGGGACAAAAGGAACAAAATATCAGCGCATCTGTATTTAGCATCCTTCCCGTGCGGAGGTAAGTACAAGGCTAGCTGTGTGACCCGGTAGGTTCAGAACATGTTAAAATGCAACCCAGAGCCGAGTACTTTCCAAGACCCCGATGGTTAAAAAGGGAGTAGGGGGAGGGGAGAACTCACCGGATATGTCTGCTCATACTTGGTTCCTTCATGCTCTCTGTGCTGTCCAGAGGACGATGGTCTCTCCCTCACGTTCCCATACCCAGGACTGGGTATAACATACTCTTTTCCCATATCAATATCCTTCATCTTCTTAGACAGAAAGTCCTGGGGTTCACAGACACTTGGCTTTGCCTCAGAATTTCTGAAAAAGATTTCATTAAAAGTGGAAGTCTGTTAAAGCTCCTAGCAAAGGAATAAGGTTTTATAAATCCCTTCCACAAGAAAAGCTGATGCCATTGTCCTTAATAAGGTCTACAAATATTTCGCTTTTATCTTCTCATTTTAAAAGGGGGGAAAATGGAGCCCAGTGACTAAAGATCAAATTAAGTTTGATTACAGGTATCTCAATTAGGTAAACACATTCAGAAAAATACATTAATAAGTCAGTCAAGCAGGTAGGTAATACCAATTACCAGTAAAAAAAAAAAAATTGAAAAATGTCTAGAAAAGTCCCAAATCTCATTATTCATGCATCAGCATATTTGAAATACTGAAATAAAATCAGCCTAAAGCATGACTAATGACAGGAGCTTAGAACTGCTGGAATCATCCCGAGATGGAAAAGTACCCGAGCTGCCCTTCCAGACCCCACTCTCAGAGCAGGCCAGTTGGACCCAAAGTTCCCTGAGGCCTCCTCCCTTGACTGCAAGATCTCCCTCCAGAAACATCCGGGGAGAAATGCCACAAAGAGCATCCTCTAGCCTACCGAGCCTCACCTTCTGGAGGACTCCAGCACAATCACCCAAGACAATGCACTTCACGTTAAAAAAAAGAAAGAAAGAAAAGAAAAAAGGAGGGGGAGTACCCGAAGGCTCTTCCCCCGCCCTCCATCTAGGCTGCGCCGATTTGCAATCACGAGCCCTTCCGCACACTCTGATCTCCCCAAGGCTTCATCCCCTCCCCATCTCTGGACTCTGCCAGACCCCCAAAGCCCAATGTTACTAAAAGCAGCACCTCTCTACAACAGCCCCTGGCTGACACAGGAAGTACTTGGTGGCATTCAGGTTCACAATTCCACTGTTTCTTTCTCCTCTTTATTAAAATAAAACAGACCAGATTCCAAAACCTCAGAATGTTTTTCCTCAAAGAAACAGGGTGTTGGACCAACAGCAGTAAGGAAGGCTTCTCTTGCAGAGGTCAGCGCCAACTGCTGTAATCTGAGTCAGTGAAGCCGCTTGTCTTAAAAAGGGTCACCTTGGCCACACTGCTTGGTGGAGCTCAAGGGCTTCTCAGGATCCCGATGCCAATCAGCCGAGCCTGAACTATAACCTGAGCAGGCTCGATGGCCTGTGTGCCCAGACCCAAGCCAAACTGCAGCTTGAGGTCCCAGTAACCCTTCTGGCCCCAGAAAGCAGTCCTCACCAAGAGGACCACGGGACCACCTGGGAAAGGGCAGACACTGGTTTCTTCTTGAAAAAAATCTCTAATTCTCACATACAAAAATACATCTTGTTCTGAAAGCCAGAACAAGAAGCACACAGATGTCTATCAATTCATCCAAATTCCAACTAAGTCAAGACATTCTCCATCTAAATAAAACAAGGTCAACATCAGCTGGAGCTTTCCACATTCATGGAGAGATGCAATCGCTTATTCCTCCCTTAGTCAGACCACTCATTCATCTCTAGCCCTCAGCACAGTGTGATGCCATGCACCTAGTTAGGACTTGCTAAAAGCAAGTTTAAAAACTTGAGAGGTCTATCACTGACCAGGCCCCCCTCCCCGAGCAAGAGGCTTAATTCCGCAGGAGAGAAAATGACAAGCTCAGTAAGCAAATGCAAAGTAATTGTAGGAATTTGCTTTGCTTAACTGCACATATTTTTACAAAAGTTTTGTCTTTTTTCCACGGTGGGGAAGGTAGAATAAAATTTCGCTTTAAAAAAGTGATTTGGGAACGGTAGCCACCGAACAGAAGTGGCTCCCACTGCCATGGACCCCCCTAAGAAGATCAGAATCGGCCTCGGGGGAGGAGGCGGCAGGCTGAGTCCTGCAGGAAGCTGGGGAGCCTGGGAGGAAGGAGAGATGGGGGAGCCTGGGCAAAGAAAGGGAAGGAGCCAAGTTAACTTCTCTCTGCCCCCTTACTGCTGGCTCCAGAACTGAGAGCAACAGCCCCCCAGGGGGTGTTAGTGAGGGCCACAAGCATTTACTCGGCTGTTCTGAAGAAGGCATTGCTTGCTAGGTGCTGGGGATACAACGGCCAAAATGAAACAGCCCCCAGCTTCAAGGATTTTCTCTGCCCCTGAGCTCTGGGTGTCCTCCTAGACGTTAAGCTCCACCACAGCCTTCTCCCCAGCTGGAATCCATCTACCTCTGCCCTGCCAGGGCCTCCCCTCCCTCCCCTGAAATCCCAGACAAAGCCTGGATAAAGGCTTTCCTGACTAACCCAAATCAAAGTCAATCGCTGTGAAAGCCTGTGTCCTTGCCTCCACACCAATTACAGCTGTCCACCTCATCCTGCATCCCCATCACTTCCATCCGCCCCCCAATCTGTTCACAAGCCTGTAGCCATCCTCCTCCTTCTTTCGGGGTGCCCCGCAGCAGGAAGGTGGAAACCTTGGGGTTGAAGAAACATCCAGGGCCTTGATGCCTGGGTGAGCCCGCTAGGCTGACCGTCCTCCATAGGAGTTTGCCAGGAGGGTCTCCAGGTCTGCAGGTCTCCGCCCTGCTTTTAATCACCTTGCCAGAACACAGAAGGATGACTGGGGCACCTAAGGTGAAGCACCTGCAGCTGCCACTGGCAGGAGACCTGGGCAGAAGCCAAATGCCGCCTGGATCTGTAACCCAGGCCAAGATGAAGGGCACCAAAGGAGTGGCCCGTGGGCCTCCAACTGGAGGGCTGTGCCCCCGCTGGCCCTGCCCAGCTGTCCCCGGGGGGGGGGTGACCCTCCCCTCCTGGGGGGCAGCTGTGACCTTGGACAGGCCCCTTCTCGGGCCCTGCGGATGCCCCTTCCTTACGCTTGCTCAGCCCACCCCCCCCCTCCCGCCAGCTTTGGGGAAGGGGGTGGGAGGGCTGGGTGATCCCCAAGACCCCCCCCCATCCTAGGAACTGAAGAGCCGGGCCTGGCACCTCCCGGTTGCCTCAAGCACAAAATGGGGGGGTGGGGCCCTTTAGGGGCTCAGTTTGGGCCCTCACGGGCTCCGAGCCTCGGAATCTAAGCAGGGGGACGGAGTGTGTGTAGGAGCCTCAGTTTCCCCCTTTCTGGCCATCCCTGAAGCCGGCGAGCCGCAGGCTCAAAGCCCAAGCGCTACTACTTGGGCCTTCCCTGCCCCCGGCACCCGGGCTTTCTGGGCCTCAGTTTCCCCAGCCGTAAAATGGGAGGGGTGGGGTGGCCTGGAGGCCCTCGTGGCCCCCCCCAACCCCGCGAGGGGAAGGATGGGGGAGGGGGTAGAAGGGTCGGTCCAGGGGCTCGCGCACTGGCCGGCGGCCGGGAGGAGGCGCGTGCGCAGGCGCGCAGACCTGCAGACGGGGGCGGGGGTCGGAGGGAGTTGGGGCTAAGGCGGAGGCGCGTGCGCGGAGGGAGGCCTCGCTCAAACTCCCCTCCGCCCCCGCCTCCCCCAGGATGGGCAATGGCCGCGGGCGCGGCGCCCTCTGGCGGCCGCGGCCGGGAGCGCGCCTCCAGCCCCCCTCTCCCGCTTGCCTTCCCGGCCCGGCCGGCTCCGTCCCCGCGGCTCGAGACCAAGGAACCCCCAAGCCCCGCGCCCAGAGGCCCGAGGCCGCCGCTTCCTCCGCGGGCCGGGGCCCAGGCGGGACCGCGAAGTGGCCGGGGGCTGCTGCGCGACGGGAGCCCAGCCCAGCGCCGGTTCCGGCTGCTGCTCCTACCCGCGCCTGCCGCCACAGAACCTAGATGGATCCCAGGTCCGTTGGTCTCAGCCCGCGGACGGGCCCCAGAGCCGCCCTTCATCCCGCCCCAGCGAGCGCCACCTACCTGCCCCCACCAGCGGCCGTCAGACCGACAGCCGAGCATCAGCCCCGGAGCAAAAACAAGCCCTTATAGCGGCCCCGGCCGCCGATGCCGCCGCGCCGCGCCTGCGCACTGTGCTGAGTGCTTCCCCGATGGCTGCCGGGAAGTGTAGTCTCAGCGGGGCGCCGCCTGGGGCTCGGTGCGGCCCTCCGTCTCCCGGCGCCGGACTACATTTCCCAGGAGGCGCTGGGGAGGGATGGAAAAGGGGCCGGCGGCCCCGCCCTCACAACGCTCCGCCCCAGCAATCCACTTGGGGAGGGGGAGGAGGTATGGCTGTTGCGGTAGTGTGAATAATCTTAAAGTGGGACACGCCTGCGTGAAAGTCCTAGGACCTCCGACTTTGGGTGGGCAGGACCATAGTAGCAGCCCCTCTCCCCCGTTTTTCCTCCCCACAGCTGCCAAAGTGAGATTGCTAAAGCAGAGCTTTAACCAGTCACTCCCCAGCTCCTAAAGCTGCAATGGCTCCCTATTGCCCTTGGGATATCCTGCGCTACCTTTTCCGTCTTCTCACACATCACTTCCTTGCACGCACACCACCTTCTGGCCAAACTGACCTTTTTGCCTTGTGACCTCACATAGGACACTCAGACCGCCATCCCCATACCTTTGGATGGGCTGTCCACACATGCCTAGAACGCGCATTCTCTCACCTGGAACTCGTGGAATCCCGTCTTCCTTCTAAACTCTGCTCTGGGGCCACCTCCTCCGGGAAGCCTTTCTTGGTAGCTCCCAGGAGCAGCTGCCTCGCCGTCCCTCCCTTCAATCACCTTGGGAGCAGGGGGGCGGTATTAAGTTTACTGCAGCCGTTAGCAGGTAGAGAAGGAGTGAGTCTACACCTTCCTGCCCACGTGGATCGTTGTGACTCACTTTCGGAGGAAGGCGGTTAATGAGGTGGTTGCCTTTTCTGGGATCCAGATGGCTGTTCCCTTATCTTCAGGTAAACGACTTACTAAAGCCTGATAGATGCAGAGGGAGGGCAAGCAAAGGAAGGACGAGACCACCTCCTGCAGACTGGCTCCAGCCCACCGAGGAGGTCCTACAGATCCAAATTGGATAAGAGCTCTCATTTCCCCTTCGGCCTTGCCTAGCCCCGAGCCTGAGTTACTCGGACCCTCCCCTCGATCAGGTTGGCCCAGCGCCTGCCAGTGAGGTGGGCCAGTGGATGGAGTCAGACTGGACATGAGTTAAGAAATGGCCGCGGACAATTAGCAGCTGTGTGACTCCAGACAAGTCACTTAATCTCACTTTTCCTCCACTGTAAAATGGGGATAATAACAGGGTTGTTGTGGGGATCAAGTGAGATGATATTTGTAAGCACCTGGCATACCTAGTAAGTTACTACAGATGCCTTCCTCACCACCACCACCACCCCCATCACCACCACCCCCATCACCACCACCCCCACCACCACCACCATCACCACCACCATCACCATCATCACCACCACCATCACCACCACCACCACCACCACCATCACCATCACCACCACCA